CACCATGAAACTAAGTTGCTCAGGGCCCCGGACTTCAGCCCCATGCAGTGGGACTTTAGCTTTCTGCCTCGGCCCCAATGAGTCTAACACTGGTCCTGTTTAGCAGACCCCCTGAAACCTACTCACAGCCCCTCAGGGGACCCTGGACCCCTGGTTGAGAATCACTGGACTAGATAACCACTCGAGGTCCCTTCCAGGCTTACATAGCTATGTTTCCATGATTTTATGGTCTCTTATTTAATTAATAGTCTTCCAATTATTTCAATAGGAATCAAATCAGGTACTATTGCAGAGTTCTGTGGATGCATGTACAGCACCATGTTGGATCCTGAAAGTGTGGATTGTGCGTCTTGGTGATTTCTATACAAGTTCCTGTTAGAAGTGTAAGCACTGGAATGGGTTACCTAGGGAGGTGGTGGAATCTCCTTCCTTAGAGGTTTTAAAGGTCAGGCTTAATAAAGCCTTGGCTGGGATGATTGGGGATTGGTCCTGCTTTGAGCGGGGGGTTGGACTAGATGACCTCCTGAGGTCCCTTCCAACCCTGATATTCTATGATCCTATGATTTATTTACACCTGACACACTCAGTTTTCTCGTTAAACCAAAAAAGCATAGAAACCGTGTGCCAACATACTTGTTTGTGTCCCTCAATGGTATGACATTTTGTTTTTTGGAAGAAAAAAAAAATCAAAAGCACAAAGACCCGACTAAAACATGCGACACCATCACTTTATGGATTTTAATAAGTACATGCCAAACTCTTGCCAAATAGTTGGGATTCGCTATTGTAAAAGCTTCAAATGAATGATAATAGACTCATCAGAGTCAACTTGAGTTTCAAGCATGTGTGCGTGAGAGCGAGAAAAAGCAAAAGGGAAAAAGGGAACCAAAGCTTTTTACATGGGACCAAGCTTCACTGAAAATGAATATTGCTGGTCAAGTATCTAAGTCAATATCTTTTCACAGGCAAAACGTCAGTGAATTGGGGTTCCTCTGAATAAAGGACCATTGGATCAGGGCTGAATCATGTATACCTCATTTAAAACTGATGCTAAAAAGAATACATGACAGCGGCAGTGTGAGTCCTGTGATGGATGAATAATGCATTTTTTCTGAACTCCCGAAAGAATAGTTGCAGAATAATATGCTTTGCAAGAAACTTGCTCAATATGTATTTCCATGCTGATTTTCATTACGGTTAACCATGGGGATCCTGATGTTTCAGCCAAACATAAATATTCATCTAATCATGGATCATCACAGTGGAGACAGTGGCCAGTGCTACTGAAACTAAAACAAAACAAAACAAAAACACACCTAGGAAGCCCACTGCAAATTTGAAAGCCAGAACAAAGCCCACTGCAAAAACAACAATGCAGAAGTTAAGTATCAGGGGGTAGCCGTGTTAGTCTGTATCCACAAAAACAACGAGGAGTTTGGTGGCACCTTAAATACTAACGGATTTATTTGGGCATAAGCTTTCATGGGTAAAAAACCCACTTCTTCAGATGCAGAAGTTAAGACCCATTTAAGGACCAAAAAGATAACATTGCCATAACCTTCTACAGACAGGAAGGATAGTCCAGGGATTAGGGAACTAGGAGACCCAGGTTCAATTCCCTGATCTGTCACAGACTTCCTGTGCAAGCTTGGACAAGTCACTTAGCTCTGAAGGTCGGACTAGAGGTCCGGAGGGTTCACTGCCCAGTCATGCACTGGCTGCAGTCACATGGTTGCCTGCAATTTACCTGGCTGCACTAGATCAGTAATAACCCCACAGAGCTCTTAGATGCCTGGAATGCCAGAGCACAGCTGCGTTGCAGGGTGACCTCAGGAAAATATGGAGCTTTCCTCCACAGGTGGTGGACATCCAAGCACATAAACCTGGATACTTGTCCCCCTCTCCCTCTTTGCAGCGTGGCCAATCAGTGGGAACACACAAGCTATGCTACCATGGGTGGAGGACAAGGCAGCTGTGTGCAGGGCTAGTACCTCCACAGGCATGGCAAGATGCATGTCGACCCCAGGAAATCCACTCCTTTAGGGCTTTGAATCCCCTGTCTGTTCTGCAGAGGGGAAACATCACTACTAGAGGCAACTCTGCAATAGGGAGTTCTTGAGTTTCCTAAACCTCAATGTAGGCAGGGCCGGCTCTAGGTTTTTTGCCGCCCCGAGCAAAAAAACAAAAAACCTCTGGGAGCGCAACTTCCGAAGTGTCCGGAATGACGCCCCAAGCACGTGCTTGGTTTGCTGGTGCCTAGAGCCGGCCCTGAATGCTATGGAACATCTGTCACTGATACCAAAATGCATTGAGCTGTTAACCTCACCCACTACCAGCTCCACCAACACGATATGCAGATAGTCAAGGATGGCACAGTGGCTCCCTAACTGGGTATGTCTACACTGCACCTGGGAACGAGCTATTTTTAGCGTGTTTGCCCAAGTCCCACTAGCGCGAGTCGGTCTTGCCAGGTTGGAAAGCTTGTTCCCAGCTGCAGCGTATACATACCCACTGCGGTCCCGGGAGGGCCTATTAATGGGCCATCGACATCTGTCCGGTCACACTGTGCTAGTTCTCCTCCTAATTTCCAGCTGCTAAATCACATTAAAAAGAAAATAAAATGAAGGGTGGGATTTTCATAAGTGCTCAGTATTGGCCTAACTCTGGGCCCATTCAAGTCAACGGGAGTTTTGTCATGGACATCAACGAGAGAGAAGTTAGGCCAACTCTGAGTGCTCTGAGAAATATTGCCCCAAATACTTTCCTCATATTAATTTTCCATGTAAGCACCGGCATGTTATATAACCACGACTGGGAAGAGGGGTGGTCTATGTATTTGTGAATAGAAGGGGAGGTGGCCCATGAGAAAAATCTCACTATTCATGTGTGGTCCACCCTATGAAAAAGTTTGAGAACCTTCAAATTACCATACATTGCATGATACGTTTGCTTCTGGTTCTGATGCTCAGAACTAACAAGGGAAAAAAGGATACATAAAATACATGAAGACAATTTCCAAACCCCAATTTAAAAGCGGAGTATCAGCAAGTATATTGACCCAGATTTTCAAAAGTGACTCGGGATTTTGGGTGCCTCGCTTTTTCAGGTGACACCGTAAAGGGGCCTGATGTTCAGAGAGTTCTGAGCCAGCTTCCCCTGAAAATCAAGTTTGGCTCCCAAAATCAACAGCCACTTGAGAAAATCTTGCCCGTGATTCAAATCAAACAAACAATTTGCACATAACTATTACTTTAAAATCCTTCCTCAAAGATTTGTCAAAACAGCCCCTGATGCTCTTGTCAACATCCCTCAACATATTTTAAATTATTCTATTTCTGCACATTTCAACATTTTCTACCATTTCTAACACGTTTAATTCAGGACTTTCCTAAGAACTCTTCCTCACTCCCAGTTTCCTCCTCCATATGCCTCAAATGCAGGCACACAAAGCAAACCACAAACACAAACCAAACCCTTCCTCTACTTTTTAAAGATCATGGTTATGAAGTGCTTGATACGATTTCTTTGCCCAGTGCTCTCTTAATCAAGCAACATTGTCAAATGTCTCATATACTTCTCTAAGGCCATCACAAGGTCAGTGGCCTTGTAGAAATGGTTTGGGGTTTCTTCCCCCGCATGGGATAAATTATTCAAAAGAACTTCGGATATTTTTAAAACACTCTATATAAAACCCTCCCCATCACACTGAGTGACACGCATGTATGAAATGAAGAAATACAGCACAAGTGGCAAACGTTAAAAAGTCGTCTCCTTTCATAAAAGCAATTAGACAAAAATAAATGACGTGAGAAGGCTTGATTTGATTTTAAAGCCAGTGTTATCAAAGAGGCTTGGCATTATCTTCTATTGATTTTATTGGCAGTTTGCCCGGCTTTCCTGTCTCTGCACTGTGTCTCTCTCAAAGTGTTAGTCTTAGATTGGGCTGTTATACAGTATTTAATTCTTCCAATTAAAATGTATTTCTTCACAACACATTTTGACAAAACTTACTGTGGTGACTGCTTATGATTATTTTTACATTCTTTTTAAACAACCAGACCTTTTAATACCTCAGAATTCATGTTTCCTCTTTTATTGAAAACATGTTTAGAGAACACTTTATAGATTATTTTATCTTCTATCCATCTACGATGTTAATGTCATTTGTCAATGCAAAGCAGTGTTACTGTTGTGTTTTCAGCTACATAAACCAGCTTGCAAAGAACATATGTGTGTTCACTAGTTAAGTGACTATATCTTAATTATTCCATTGTTTTAGATGGTTAGCTGTAGATACTATTAAAAAACAAAAACACCCTCGTCCATAAAGTAAACCCCAAAAGAAAAAAGTTGCTTTGAATGCACAAGTACTCAAGTAAGTTTTCCCATCAGAGGGGACTGAGAGACAGGACATGATTGCACTAGAGTTGGGAACAGAGAGCATTCCAGTTCTCACTACCCAGTGCCTAAAATGACAAGGTCACTGAGGTTTTTTGCAGCAAGAAAACAAACAAAAGACCCTGTGTATTTGAAATGTCACTGTCTGCTCCATGAGAATGCTAAAGCCCCATCGTTACTATTGATAACTCCCGCTTCTTAATTGCTTCCCCAGAGGTCCAATATTGACAGGAGAGAGCTACCTGCGTGAGTATTGCAAGAAGTAGTGTCCATTTGCACATGTACTACACCCCCCCCAACACACACACAGTGCTGCACACACACACCCCTCCCCGAGGTCTTAGGCACGCTGAGGGCTCGGTTTCCTACCCTGTCAGGAAAATCGCATGATTCTGTAAAGCCCCGAGGGCCAAACCATTGCATCCCCCCACCCCCAAGCGGGCTGTCTCGCTACCGAGCTAGCTCTCGCTGCAGGGAGCTGTCTCGAGCGGTAGCTGCCTATCTAGGGATGGATTCTTCCGAGCCCCCTTCATCTCCCGGGAAACCCCGCGAGCCCAACCTGCAGCGATGCTCCTGCTGCCCCTTCCCCGCCTCGCGCCTACCTAGTGCCCGGCTGCCAGGCGAGCCCGGGCTGCACGCGCCGCCTCCCGCGTCCGCCGCTACACCGCTCCGAGCGCCATGTTCCTGCGAGCCCGGGCTCGCGGCGTGTGTCCCTGGCAGGCGGGGGGAGCCGACACCGGGCTGCTGCTGCTGCTGCTGCTACATCCGGGCTGTGACTGGCGGAGCTCAAGCTCGCCTCGCCCTGGTCGACGCGGAGACGCCCAGCTGCCTAGAGGGTGCAGCGCTGAGGAAGGGGAAAGAAAGAGCCGGAGCCTGGTGATGTCGATACCCCAAGTGCATCCTCCACAGAGACCAAATCTAGCGGCTTCTCCTGCCCTGGACCAAGCCAGTCCCCCATGCATCGGATCCCATGCCACAGCTCTGCAAAATCCCTCATCCCACAGCTAGAGCCAGCCAAAAACTGCCCCCCGCCCCCCCTTCCTGCAAACCGCGCTGATTAAATACTGCTCCTGTTACAGCAAAGAAATTCCTGCGGCCGAAGCCTCTTGGTGCTACAACACCCCAGAACCAGCACCCGGATCCAGGCACTTTCTGGCTCCAGTTCCCCAAATTCAACACAATAGCCAGGGAATCTGGCCCCTGCTGCACCCCAGTGTGTGATATCAGTGCAAAAGCTCAGCGCTGGCAGCTGGATCCTCCCAAAATTTGACCACAAACCCAGAAACTGCACCATCAGAATATTATTATTTATACTGCAGTTGGGCTTAGTAGCCCCAGTCGTGTACCAGGCCCCCGTTGGGCTAAGCAGGGTACAAACAGAACAAAGAGTTGGTCCCTGCCCCAAAGAACTTACAATCTAAGTATAAGAACATCAGAACGGCCATACTGGGTCAGACCAAAGGTCCATCTAGCCCAGTATCCTGTCTTCCGACAGTGGCCAATGCCAGGTGCTTCAGAGGGGATGAACAGAACAAGTAATCATCAAGTGATCCATTTCCTGTCGCCCATTCCCAGTTTCTGGCAAACAGAGGCTAGGGACACCATCCCTGCCCATCCTGGCTAATAGCCATTAATGGACCTATTCTCCATGAACTTATCTGGGTTTTTTTTAACCCTGTTATAGTCTTGGTCTTCACAACATCCTCTGGCAAAGAGTTCCACAGGTTGACTGTGTGTGGTGTGAAAAAATACTTCCTTTTGTTTGTTTTAAACCTGCTGACTATTCATTTCATTTGGTGACCCTTAGTTCTTGTGTTATGAGGAGTAAATAACACTTCCTTATTTACTTTCTGCACACCAGTCATGATTTTATAGACCTCTATCATATCCTCCCTTAGTTGTCTCCTTTCCAAGCAGACAAGTCCCAGTATAAGACAAAAAACAACAGGTGGAGACGAACAGGGGAGCACAAGCAAACAGCGAGAACACATTTTGCTTCTAATGTTCTACCCCAAGACATCCTGGTACAAGAAATCTGGAAAAATTCCAATTCAGTGCCAGTATCCTGCTGGATCTGGTGAATTTTTGGCTGCATACTTCCAGTTTTAATGACAAAATTTACTACATATGCAGCGTCTCCTAGTCCACTAGAATAACAAGTTTCAGAGTAACAGCCGTGTTAGTCTGTATCCGCAAAAAGAAGAACAGGAGTACTTGTGGCACCTTAGAGACTAACAAATTTATTAGAGCATAAGCTTTCGTGGACTACAGCCCACTTCTTCGGATGCATCCGAAGAAGTGGGCTGTAGTCCACGAAAG